TTTTTCTAAAAGGCGGAATTGAGTTAATGTTTTGTATGGAATGGAATAGCTCCTTGTGGTTTCATCCTGCTTCCAATCTTTGTTTTCTCTCATTGCTACTTGGCCACGTGAACTACTTTTAGATCTCAAAAGGATCAGATTTCACTCTGGGGATCTTCAGATTCTCGTTATTTGTTTTATTTTAACATCCACGGCTCTTTTGTGGACGCTTTAGCTTTGCTCCACTACTGGTCTTGACCCAGAACATGTAATTGGTGTGGTTGTCGATACCCGGTGTTATTTTGATAGCCCCTCTGTTGTGAGTGCAGGTCGTCTTTCACCGTAGTCGATTCATTTAGGTGTGTTAGCCTTCCTTCAAGCCTCGATGAGTGCAGTTACATTCATTAAAAGGATTAAAGATATTTGGTGTGCCTCAATTTCTCGAATGGGGAAGCGGATTTACTATAAACATATGAGAGCTGTAGGACAGCATAGAGCTGGCCTGAAGGCTGGATCATGAGATATTGAAAAGGTCTATATGGCTAAATAATATTCTTTTACATGGCCTCACTCCCTCTAAAGTGTTGGATTATGTACGAATCTAAAGGTATTCAGCATAGTTATTGGAGGGACCAGGAAGTATAAGCCCCATCTTGGGGGTTGAAACACAGAACCAACTTCTCATCGTCGTCATTGTGCAGTCACCAATGCATCATAAGCTACCTCTGACAACGTTGGAAGTAGATTTATTATAAGTGCAAAGAGGGGTAGAAGATGAGTAGAGCATGTAGTAAATCTGCGGAACTAAAAACGTCTCCATGGTCAATCGTCGTTCTTCTATCTAGCATCTCCTTGTGAGCCTCGCATTTGACCATCATGAATGTTCAAGTCTAGGTGTAGATGGAGGACAACAGAGAGTAAGTCGAGTTGTGAGCGACTGAAACACAGTGTTGATTCTTCGTCGTCATTGTCTTTCAGTTCGCCTACCCGCCCTCATCGGCCAGATGTCACTGACTAAGTGCCGCCGATCAATAGTGCTGCGCCATCTGTACCTCTTCATTGCCTACCTCGACGCGACACGCGACTTCTGGTTCACCGCCACACGACCCGCCCTGGCCGCTCCCGCCCTTCCCTCCTCCTCCGTCTCCACCTCCACCTCTGTTGATGCTTCCACCACTCCCAACAGTGCGAAGCGTCCCGAACTGCACACCGGGCCCTCTACCAATAATGTCATCGCTGGTGGAGTCACTCCTCCGACCACCAGCAGTATGCCCAAGAGGCGACGCCGGACCATGGGCTCCGGGGCTACATCCAAGACGTTAGCACCGTCACCTCCTCCTCCTTCATTGTCATCGGTCACTTCGAGTGAGTTATCTTTGGATGGCTGGTGCACCGTAAAAGGGTATTTATCCGCTCGCCTTAATTAACCATTAGTGTTCTAATATCTTTTCATTGGAACATTAGACTAGTAACGAGCATGCATGCTTCGGTTTGCCATTGTTGCCTAAGCTCTTGCTCCTAGTATTTTACTAGTCACTGTCAGGTGTTTTGGGATGACCTTTTGAGACTGTTTCTCGTTTTTTCCTTTATCAGAAATTCAAACCCTAATTAGGTAGTCATTCCGCATTTCAATTACACTTCTTACAGGCCTTTTCTATGCTCGAGTTCAATAATGCATACTGCTGTGATTTAAGCGATTTAGGTGAAGCGTCTGTGTTGCTCGTACCTGTACAAATACAAGTAGCGTTGAGAAAGTCCCCGTAATCTTTCTCCTTTTCATTAGACGCAAAGAAGGTGAGGAGAGCATCTATTGGTCGAGCGTGTAGTTTGACTGCTTTTATCTAGGATAGCTTGGTTTTTTTCTGGTGCCTCGTTGTAGTGGCTGCGTAATTTGTTATTGTTAGGTATCTCAATCTGAATGGATATCCTCTTCAAAGATAGGGGTCTATTTCATAGCGTCTTTCATGGTTAGTTAAAAATACCTATTGTTATGATGAGTGCTGAATGCTTCGGACATCTGGTTAGCTGTAGCCACGATTAAAACGCATAAAAGTGTGAGATGGATTCATCACGAAACAAGTGGCTCTTAGTTGTAGGAATTCCTGAGAAAGTGAATGTGAGTGTTGAATCCATCTGTTCTCTGATATACCAGTTTTACGTACGTCGGATTATGCGTCAGGTGCGCATAGTAAAATTACGTAAATATTTTTGAAACGGCTAGTGAACATCTGGGAACTCTTTGATGGGACCTCCTTTTTCGCCTTCAAATGCAAATGTTGTCCAATGTCATAAGCCACTTGAAAGGCAGTGATCTTGAGACAAATGTCCTTTTAAAAGAGCCGATCGCTTGCTGTTATTGCCGTGACATCAGACGATCACAAGTTTGGATTCCTGGCTGAAAATTCACGTTGTATAAGCATCACGGGTAGTTGAAGCATTTCGGAAGGTTACTTAAAGTCATGATATGTAGACGTAAAAAGGGCGACCCACGTAACCTTCCTTTCCACCTCATGCAAACGTTCAACCGCCTCGATTTTGCGAAGCTTTATCACACCTAAATGCCGATGAAATCCCGAAATAAATGGCTTTGGTTATACTTCGCCCATTTTTTTCTCGTTGCAACTCACCTTGATTTGGGCAACGGTTTGTTCGATCTCTAATTCCTTCCATAAAGGTTGGAACTATTTTCAGATTGGAAAAGTCTTACTCATTGAGCGAAATTGGCATTTTCTCTGAACGCATTCACCTTGACCTATGCAACTGTCCTTGCTGCGCTTATTTTTTGAAGCAATTATTCCTCCACTATCTGGAGGCTTTTAAAATCGGATAAGTCGTTCCACTAGAACCCACTCTGAATGCAAGGCTGTCTTCACGCACTGGATCATGGGATCACTCTGTATGGACCACCCATTTGCGGTCTTTTTAACTTTTATAATAATAAGGCAATAAATGAGGTGGTGGTTTTTTCACTACCTTGACGATTTCCTAATTGTTGAAATATCTTGTCGTCGGTCACTCACAAAGCATATTCTATTGTGCATCGGTGAATGCTGAAATGGACTGTTAGCTCTTATTCAGCTGTGCAGTTGCGTAAACTGGATTTCCCGACTCTTAATCCGTTTTCGGGTTTGGAAGTGTCTCATCCTCAACTCGTTCTTATCTCCGTGAGATGGCATTATCGTCACTAAGCCGTGATTAGGGAGTGGCACTTAATATTTAGTCTGAGAGACAGATCATGGAAAGCACACAAGAATGATTGTTATTTTTAGGTTGTTTGCGCAAGCCTTATGCGTCATGCGTAGAATTTCTGTCTGTCCTTCAAGTAAGCAATATTTGATGTACAAAGCGTGAGGATATAATGAAAGGTCTATTTTTTTTTATCGTCCTGACATCTGAAGCCAACATCAACGTCTGTCCAAGCATTGTCGTCCAGACGAAGAGGGGGGGGGGGAAAGGACTCAAAGAAGGCGAGTTAGGGATAGCGTTATTACTGTACTTTGACTATTCACTACTTGAATCGTGCAGGCTGTAGGAGGAGGGGGTCCGGCCTCTCGAACCTGGATCTGGTAACTGTCTCAAACACTTTAAAGTACCTTTTAAATAACAAAAGTCAAACTTTGAGGTTATGCATTTTTTTTTCAATTCCATCTCACTCACGTTACGCTAAAAAGGAATGAAAGCCTTCGACAGATTCACCTTAATCTACCTAAGTGTGTCAACAGGGATGCACAATGGTTCGTGGTTGAAGATGGAGGGTCGTCGTCAACTTGTTGCACCACCATCTGGTGCTAGATAACCCGAGTCAAGTTGTTCAAGCAATATGGTCCTGGGCGGTACCTTCTGCCACCACAACGTCTCTAAGTACTGTGTGAATTGCATGAGAAGTTTCTGCAGTTCTGGGGCCGAGTTCCACTGTCTCGAATCACATCCATAACGTCCAACCAAATTGTTATGAGATGGATGTTAAAAGGAGCAAGGAAACAGAGGAGCGTGATGTCTGTATTCTACAAAAAATAATTGCAGCCTTGTAAACCGAAAACTGCATTGACTTGATTGGTCACCGAAAATTACATGGAATTTGTTTTTTCCCTCAAGCCAGTATTTAAAAGGTTACTGATGCACCTCTAAGATATGCCGAAATTTGAGAATATTTGCATGAGATATGTGAGGTGTTGGGTTTCACGCTGTGTAATGGGTAATGCAATTTCCCGTTTCAAATCTTCTGCATTCTGTCGAAAGGAATTTTCCACTTTTTTTTCCCGGAAATTTGTGGGCTAGATGCAATCGGTGTCGGTATCGCATTTCCAGTTCGAGTTTTGGGTATTCATGGTCCTCATTCAATTGGATTCCCCCAATCGTATATTTTTGCCCTTTTTCGGCGGTAGTTGTACCTGTACACGTTTTGCAGTGTTCGTGTACTCTTATATATGACCTTGAAATGCTATTTTTTGCCTGTACTTTAAAAGTACTTGCGCCCCTCTTTTATGGCCTACAGCTCACTTTCAATGTGCTACTTTATGCCCTCACCCCCAACCTAAAATACCCATACCCTAAATCGTTAGCATGATGACTAATGGTTGTTCCTCTTGGGTTCCCCTCTTGATGGGGCATTATTGGGCTTGAGTGACCGATCACGAGGGCTATCCAAGTGTTTGAGCTGAAGCAAGAAGGGCATTCGAATTGTGTCCATCGAATAAAATGATTTTTCAGCATGGCTGAAACACCCCAGGATAGCTTGCCTGCCATGGTACTCGGTGTTTGCCCTATTTTTGACTTTGTAATTGTTCGTGAAAGATTGTGTTCAGCGTTGGTGCAGAGCATGCAAGGTTTTGCGCAGTTTCGTCACGCGACAAGCGCCTCAGATCAGTCATTTCGCGTGATGAGTGTTCAGAGGAATGGCTCACCACCACCACCACCACCACCACCACCACCACCACCACCACCACCACCACCACCACCACCACCACACCACCACCACCACCACCACCACC